GAGTTGTAATTGATTAGAGATTATTCTCTTGGCCTCCAACATTGTAACTGTTTTGCCAAATTTGAGTTATTCGGTGAGCCTAGCTTGGTAAATCCTTGGGCCAGGCAATACTTAGGCATAACTTATTTATGGAGTGCTCAAAGCTTAGAGTATTTTGAAAATATTCTTGGACAATATATGACTGTTAGAATGATTTATTCTGACTTTGAAACAGCAAGGACTTGTTATTCGAATTTCTTAAAAGTATAATTTAATAAAGATTAATTTTTTATTTGATAGTACATCATCCTGTGATGTGTGACGCGTGTTACAAGTCTAATTTTTCGGGATTCCGGTATCGTTGTCAGAAATGTAACTCTTATCAACTTTGTCAAGAGTGTTTTTGGCGGGGTAAAGTATCTGGAGGACACACTAATGATCATGAAACGAGAGAATACAGTAGTTTTGTAAGTCATTATTTTAATTATTACAAGCAAATCACCCATAAATCGGAAATTTTTCATTTTTACCATTTACAGAAATCACCTACCAAGCAAATTGGACATTCTTTAAGAAAAAGCTTCAGATGCGTACCAGAAAAAGAAAAAAATTGTATTCCAAGATTTCCTGAGCAACCGGAACGAACGTTGGACTTATCTCATATTGTGTGAGTATCGAGCAAAATCTTGAATTTGGTTTTGTGACAACTCGATCCCTATTATTCTTGTCGACCCTTGAATAATTCATCAATCAACGTAAAGGTGCCGTTAGAAATATAGACTTAAATTTCAGGACTGAAATGAGTAAGAGTGAATACGTCAAAATTGTGAGAAATCGCAAGAGTATTTTACAAAGTCAACTCTACCGAATTCAGTCATATTTAAAAAATAATGAAAATATCCACTGAATTTTAGCCCGATTTCGGTCATTTTTAAGTGATATATCGAAAAATTACCTAAAAACTATCTAAATAATGCCTCTATTTCGGGAACGTTTGTAAACATTATATACCTAAAAAGAATTCTAATTTATTTTTGTTTGTTAAATTTAACAAAGTCAAATTCTAAACGAGTAACCAATGAAATCAATTTATTAATAAAAATAAGAAATTGATAGGAGAGAAGTCAGATACATATTTATTTAAATTTTTTAACGTTTATTCAATTATAAAATCGTTATTTTATTAAATTTTGTTTATAACAATAGTAATAAAAAGTTTTTTGATTTTTTTAATAAAAAAAATAAGGAAAACGGTTGACCCTAATAGCCATCCCTGCATACTTCCCGCTAACTTCATACCCAAGCGCTTAACATTTCACTTATTTTGTTTTTGAGCTTTTCAAGTTCAAAAATATGATTTTCGTGTTATTTTGAGATCTCCCAGCTCAGAGAGATAGCTTTTCTATGATTTTGAGGTCTTTGAGCTCAAAAATCTGATAGAAGTTTGATAGAACACAATTTTTTGAATTTTTAAGCCGCAATAACTTTTGAATTAATCAACCGATTTTCTCGTGGTTTACGGCAATCAACGCAGTTTTTTAAACTCATTTAAGAATATCAGAGCGCGTACTCATCAGACTGAAAATTCCATAGAAATTCTGAAAAAAATATTTTTTTCGACAACCATAGGAGAGAGTGGGGTAATTACGAACACATGAGGAAAAAAGTAAATATTAAAAATACTAAATAAAATCTCTGTTAATTTATTGATTAATAACAAAGATAAAGGTTTTATTTATTTACTTTCAATTATAATATTTAATTAAATTTGAAAATTAAGTAATTTTTTTGTCAAAAATAGAAAAGAAAAGTAATATATAAGTTAAAAACTAATAATTGATAAAGAATCAATTTGAATTAATCTCTACATTAATCACATCTATCTAAGGAACCCTTTGCTTGTGCTTTCACCATCACTGCATTCTTCATGTGCCCATAAATTGCATCCATAGCACATTATCCATTCTTCAGCGGGTGGTTCTCCATATTTCCCCGCACAAAAAATACAAAAATACTCATTTTGAGTTTGTTTATTTTTATTGTTTTGTTTTTTTGTGTTTTCGTCTTTTTTTGGTTTCGTGTCTTTTTTGGTTTTTCTACCTGCTCTTTAGCAAGGAAATTCCCTAACTTCTCCACACCTATATCAGTTAATATACCGTGGACCAGTTGGTCTGTTGAGCCAAGCTCACTGAGTCGATAGACAGACAGTTTCAAAAACTGCAAAAAGTTTTTACACGTCCAAAATTATGACGGACAAGTTACCAAGGCATGGGCAGGACGAATAACAATTACAAAGGACCAAAGTGTAACATCCAGTCAAGCAGTCTTCAGGGTTCCAGCAAGTATCAAAGAATCCAGCCATCATCACAAGAGAGTTCAGCAATCATTCAACATCGAGTGAAAAGATACAAGACCGAGGATTGTTCAAAGTTATGACCTGTGTGACATGGGAATAATTTTCCATGTCAAATGATGACTTGATTAATTTTTTTTTGTTGTTTAATTTTATTTTTTTTATTTATTAGTATTATTTAAAAATTATTGGCTCAGCTGGAGGAAAGCGGAGATTCGACGCGACTGTGTCGCCCCACTATGGTCCCATGATCAGAGTGCGAAGCTCGAGGTAAGACAGGTAGGAGAGTAAAGCGCCAAACAAATTTGAAGTATGTACGAATGAGAGTAAACATTGTAAAGAGTATGCATGAGTGAGAGCGACACGATTTTAGAGCGATCAGACGAACCCGATGATTTTCACGGAGCCATCGACGACCGGTGAGACATCTGGACGACGACGTTGAATGAGGCAAATTCAAATCTGCCAATGACGACAGCGTTTGAGCAAACTCAGTCGAGCGAGGCGCCATCTGCACCCTGGAAACTGAACCGAGTGGTATATCGACCAATCATCGATCGCAACGGTACACTGGACGCATCCCGCAATACAACGGCCGGCTAGCATAAGCTGTGAGCTGATTGGATGCGAGCTTTGGTACCAACGAAAAAAAAAAAAAAGAGCACGTGTTGCCGAGGAGGCAGCAAAAATAACAAGCAATTCTGATCTGGAAGCCATGCTTGTTGGTACATTAAAATTTGGACACGCGTAATTACAATTATTTTTTTTTGCTACGTAATAATAAAATTGTAACAACCGAAACTGGTACCCGCGTATTTTTTGACGATCGTTCACGTTGTGTGAAATTGCCGAGTGCCAATAATTGTTTTTTTGCTATCAACAAGTGCACGTGGGTTAACGCCATCGCCGAGCAGTCGACGCCATTCCGCCAGTCTTCCCGCCAATTGGGGTTGAGTATTGTTTCTTTTCCTGACGAGCCAGCACCGACCTCGAGGAGTTCACTACGGCCACGGGGTAAGTCTGATCGAGATTGTTTTACGTCCGGGTGTCTTCACCGCGATCTGTGTCGTGAGCCTGGCCGAATTTCACCAGGATTATTTTTTTTGTTGTTTAATTTTATTTACCGCAAAATTCTTGTGGAATTTTTCTATGAGCGAGTGACGACACTCTGAAGTACGGTACCTTGGGTTTGTGTGACGTATGTGTGTGTAGTGACTCACCACGTGAGAATTCGTTACCTCGAGCTTTTCAAATTTCCCAGAATTCGATAATTTCAATTTACTGAAATTGTTACTCGTCATATAATCAATTGGAGATTAATTAAATATTGAAATTATTAAAAATTATTTTACATTTCGATTTATTTAAAAATAAATCCAATTGTTCTTGTTGCCGTATAAATAATTATTAACCAAATGGAGGTTAATTAAAATTTAAAGTCTTAAATTATTTACGTTTTGATTTATTTAAAAATAACTCCAATTGTTATTTCGCCGAATAAATAATTATTAACCAAATCAAGGTTTATTAAAATTTAAATTCTTAAATTATTTACGTTTTGATTTATTTAAAAATAACTCCAATTGTTATTCACCGTATAAATAATTATTAACCAATCTGAGGTTAATGAAATATTTAAATAATTAACGAGTACTTGATTTTTAATCAATTAAAAAAAAAAAAAAAAACCAGGTAAGCCAATTTAGGTGGTGCTCCCCGGCCCTGTCGACGCCAGTGCCGGCGAAAAGCCCATTATAAATTTTGGCGCCCAACGTGGGGCTAGACGAAGAGATTTCAACGCGTCGCGATTAAATTGTTGGTTATTATTCGCCTAACGCGTTAAAGGACCCAATCGACAATGAATACGGACGACGACACCGTAAGGGAGACATTGCCCCAGGATCAGGATCCTCCGCAAGACCGTAACCCCGAGAACCAGGAAGAGGATCGCGATAATACAGCATCCGGACCTACTACGACCCAACCTAGTCGCGTAACCACGCCACCTGCGAGTGGCTCGGGGCAGGATCGCCCTCAGACCGAATTAGATGCCATCATAGTAGAACGACGACGACTTACGGCCGAACGGCTTCGAATCCAGGCCGAAGTCCAAGTACTCGAACGTAAGACGCAGGAACTAAGCGATCGTGAAGAATCACTGCGCACGATTGATCAAACGGGATCGACAACTCGATCCCGGAATGAAGCCGACGAATGGGTCTACGCATTAAACTCGATACAGGTTAGCGAAATGCTGATTACCCTAAACGCGAACCCATTAGGGTCCTCCAACATAATCCGAGACCGACTATTGCGTGCATTAAAGCGCAACATCGATCCCGACACGGTATGGACCCTCGAAGACCAGCCGATCACGCGATTCTCTGATGACCTCACGGACAATAGGGTCCAGAACCCCTTTATCTCGCCACCTCGCTGCGGGGTCACAGCGACTACGACGATGACGACTACGACGACGACTACGACAACGGCGACTGGTCTATTGGCGGTGGATACGACACCCACGAGTTCAATGACATACTTACCGCGGGAAACGAGGCCCATTATGTCGACTGCCTTGACACCGATACGCAGGCGACCCGTACCGAGCCCACGAACCACCCGAACGTCAACGCAGGTACGTTTCCCACCATCAGCGAACTCCACGATGAGCCAAGCGGCTCATCCTGCTAATCCGCCAGGATGTTCGCCTATTCAGAGAGAGGTTCCTGAGTTGGACAGTCGCAATAGCCTTTCGCGTACTGGGGGCGCCCACTACCAGCCCGCCATGTACGAGCGCGTGTCCAAATGGAACTTGAAGTTCTCTGGACAAGATTCGTCGAAACTTGAACCCTTTTTACGGCGCCTGGAAGAATGCCAGGTGACTTGTGGCCTCAATGACGCTGACGTATTGGCAATGATGCCATTAATTCTCACAGGAGCAGCCAAGACGTGTGGACCCACATGAAAGGGACCACCGACTCATACGACGTCTTGTGCCATGCCCTTCGAGAGCGTTTCGGTGAACCTGATATCGAATGTCGCCTTTTAGGCGAAGTGGTGAACCGTACGCAGGGTCCTTTGGAGGCAGGTTTGGATTACCTAGACTCCCTGTTGGCAATATGGGCACTAGTTAGTGAGCCATTGCCAGTACGCCTACAATTGAACTTCGCGTATAACAATCTTCGTTCGGAATATCACGTTGTGATACACCGTGAAGATTTCTCGACGTTCGGCGAGCTTTATCGGCTTGTAAGAGATTATGATCGACCAAGACGTCGTATGCAGCCTCGCACTCCAGTGACACCAAATGAAAGCGTAATGCCAAAGCTGGCCTACCAACCCGACCGATATTTACAGCGTACCTCGAACAAGACGGCGAGAGCGCAGGTGGCGGCCATTGAGGACGTTTCGTCATCACCAAAAACCCCGAAATCGCCGAATTCGTCTCAAAAGAAGAGAACCTCAGCGAATGCCCAAGTGATTCAACCACCAGCTGTCGAGGATCCCTCTCCAGAACAACAGGTGGCCGCTTTGAACGCTTCGGCGACCTCGTTCGTACCACGCGATAGAACGGGTCAAACTCGACCATTTACGATCGACCCTGCACTCCGAGGGTGCTGCTTTAACTGTGGCCAACCGGGTCATCTCCGATCAGCTTGTCCAAGTCCTCCTCGAACCGGCTACTGCTGGACCTGCGGTTCAGCAGACTGTACAACAGTTGGATGCCCAGGTTGCATCCGCTGGCAGCAACGTAGCACTGCGACACCGGGAAATGCTCCCCGGGGACAGCAGTAAACGATCCACCGCTGATCTCCGTCGAAATTGGGATCGAAATTCCGGTTAAAGAGGTTGCCGCTGTGGCTGCCTTGCCTCTACCGGACATCTTCGACATTGACATCGAGCCTTTTGGCCCAGCGAGCCAGATTCCCGACGCAAGAAAACCCGAACCGTACGTACATCGACCCTTAATCGACCCGAACGACCCTTACCGACTAATGCCGCAATGCAATGTATGTGAATCTACTGAACAGCTATGGGGCTGTCCACATTGTGAGAATGCATATTATTGCTCGATAGAACACCAATCTGAGGATTGGCCTGTTCACAGCTTCATTTGCGTACCGCCTGATGAACGGACCCGAATCTTTCAAGAACTGGCCGAGGAGGTATGTCCGACGAAAATTGACGAGAATGATCGACGACCGTTCGTGAACGTTCAAATTGGAGGACGCACGATTAAAGCGCTGCTAGACACCGGGGCTTCCGTAACGTGTATCAAAGAAGTCGACGAGCGTAATTGGGTCTACGGACTAGGCGCTCGCGTACGACCCACGAACAAAAAGACCGCGGCCGTAGCTGATGGATCAGTCATGGCGATACATGCTTTAGTTACTCTGCCGCTCGTGATTAATGATGAGATGCGACCCGTTGAAGTCCGGGTCATCCCGAAATTGAATTACGACATGATTCTCGGCATGGATGCCATTGCCGCCTTTGAGATCTGTTACGATGGACAGACGGGGCGCTGGTGGACGAAGCGAACCGACGATCTGTACGACTGGAACTCGAAAGCGTACCTCGATGGAAGGGACGTTGCGGCAATCGTTGAAATCACACCGGAGCAACAAAACGCTCTCGATGAATTGCTCACTCGTAAACTGCCATCAGTGAAATACACTGGTGAAACGACATTCACGAACTTGATGACTCATACGATTGATGTACAAGGCCACGACCCGATTCGACAACGCAATTACCCGACGTCACAGATTATTGAGTCCGAAATGCGCCGCCAAGTGGACGATCTACTTGCGGCGGGCATTATTGAGCCATCAACGAGCGCCTGGTGCAATCCGGTTATCATGGTAAAGAAAGCAACCGGCGAATATCGAATGTGCTTGGACTTTCGACGACTAAACGCCATCTCGAAACCGTGTGCATACCCGTTACCTTTGATGACTTGGATTCTCGATCAACTAAGCGGAGCTAAATTCATTTCTAAGATCGATCTGAAGCACGCTTATCACCAAGTAAAGTTAGACCCCGCCAGTCGCGAATACACCGCGTTCAGTGTTCCAGGCCGATGTATGTTTCAATACGTAGGCATGCCGTTTGGTCTGGCTGGAGCACCACCGCACTTCCAACAACTCATTGACACCATGCTAGAACGACGACGTGGACTTAGGGTCTTTGGCTATTTGGACGATTTGATTGTCGTCACGGAAACTTTTGAAGAGCATGCGGACGCTTTGAATGAAGTGTTCGATGCCTTGAATGAGGCAAATTTAAAAATTAACGTTGATAAATGCGAATTTTGCACGGACGAGGTCCGCTACCTAGGTTATCGCGTAAACGAACAGGGCCTGCTTGTCGATCCAGATCGGGTAAAATCGATGCTGGACTTTCCGAGACCGAGGAACATGAAACAAGTGCGACGATTTCTTGGAATGGCGTCGTGGTATCGACGTTTCATCCCTGACTTTGCAACTATTGCCGAACCCTTGACGAGGCTAACGAGTAAGAAAGTCCGTTGGACTTGGACTGCTGAACAAGACGCCTCATTCGAAGCCTTGAAAGTGGCTTTGGCCACGGCCCCAGTCTTATCGTGTCCCGATTTCTCTAAGACTTTTGTATTACAGACTGACGCCAGTGCGACTGGGTTAGGCGCTGTCCTAACGCAAGAACATGAGGGGGGGAGGGAGAAAGTTGTAGCGTACGCGAGTAGGATCATGAATAAAGCCGAAAGGAACTATTCTGCGACCGAGCGTGAGTGCCTAGCTGTATTATGGGCATGCGAACATTTTCGTCGATATTTAGAAGGCTATCGTTTTAAAGTGATCACGGATCACAGTAGTCTTCGTTGGCTGCGTGATCTAAAAAGTAAGACGCCCCGGTTAAGCCGATGGGCGATGCGGTTAGCTGAATACCAATTTCCGATCGAGTATCGTAAAGGCTCGTTAAATGATGTCCCCGATGCCTTGTCCCGAATGTTCGAACGCGACGAATTCGACACTGAAGATGACATATGCGTGGTCGACGAAGAACCCGAACCTGACGATGTACCAGTGGCTGAGTTAGTTGATGACTGGTATACACGACGCAAACGAGACGTATTCGATAACCCGATACGATGGAAGGGATGGCGAGTCGAGGAGGACTGCCTGTACCGCTTTAAGCCGAATCGAATGATCGCGCAGGTCGTCGAGGACCTGGACGCCTGGAAACTAGTTCCGCCGAAGGCCGCGCATTGGGGCATAATTGCCGAAAACCACGACCCACCTGAAGCTGGTCACTTAGGAGTCGAGAAAACAGCTAATCGAGTCGCAGTCGATTATTATTGGCCAGGAATGGACGAAGACGTGCGTAAATACGTCGCTGAATGTCCCGTCTGCCAGACTGCGAAGGTTTCGCAGCAACCACCCGCTGGACTAATGTGTCGACGAACCGTTCATACGCCCTGGACAGTTGTCGCCGCCGATTGTATGGAATTCCCGGCCAGTAAGAACCAATTCAAGTACATGGTCGTATTTCAGGACCTGTTTACAAAATGGATTGAACTATGCCCGATTAGGAAAGCTGATGGACCGACGATCATCCGGGAATTTGATAAATTAATTGTACATCGTTTCCGTTGTCCCGAAGTGTTACTGACCGACAACGGTACCGAATTTGCGAACAAATTGATGGAAGAAGTCGCACGCGCGTATGGGATCCATCATTCCCGAACCCCACCGTATCATGCCCAAGCAAACCCTGTCGAACGCGTCAATCGAGTCTTGAAAACGATGATTACTTCGTATGTCGATTTAGACCATCGACTTTGGGACGAACATGTCCACGAATTCCGACACGCATATAATACTGCTGTTCACAGCTCGTCACACGTCTCTCCGGCCATGCTAAATTATGGTTGGCAACCCAGACCGCCGAAATACTACCGAAAACTGGTTGAAGGTGACGTAGAAATTCCCTGCCCTGACACAACCGCGTGGGAGAACCGTCTGACTAGACTGACTCAACTTCACGACCTGGTAACCGATAATTTAGGACGTAGTTTCGAACGCCAAGCCCGTTATTATAATCGTCATCATCGAGATGAGCGCTTTGCCGTTGGGGATGTCGTTCGTGTTAGACAACACGTATTATCCCGAGGGGCCGATCGTTTTTCATCTAAGCTCGCGCGTAAATACTCCGAAGAGACGTACACCGTCTCGACCGTTATATCACCTGTTGTTTACGAACTTGCTGATCAAACTGGTCGACCAGCCGGTCGTCAACATGTAAAAGCCTTGCGACTCGTCCGCGCTCCGTTACGCCCTCCCGACCCCGACGATTAAATTGAAGCTCGAGGACTCCCTGTAATTGTATTATTGTTGCATGTTTTATGTGTGTGATTGTACCCATTACAGGATGTCCAAATACGAAGCCAGGCAGTATGCCCAGCTCATTGAGTGGGCCGTTTGTTACCAACCGGAGTTGGTAGAGCAGCTGCTAGAGGCCGAGGAGCAGCACCGCCGAAGCCTTCGAGTGATGCCGATCCATGCATCACGAGCCCGTTTCTGGGCCCAGATGCGGGTATGGTTGTATTCCCAACCACGAGCGAGTAACACACCAGCAATTCCGCTAATGTGGCGCTGCTCATGCTGCAGAGCCGTCATCGCCAGCCCAGGCCAGTGCCAACGCCATGCTAAGCATGTATTGGAGAGCCATTTACGTCCCGCTCAACAATTGGAGTATGCCGTTCATCTGCTGCGCCGTAACACACCACCGACATTGGTGCCAAAGGTGACGCGCGACCTTTCATGGGAGCGAGCGAAGTTAGTTGCCGAAAAGCTTCGCGAGGAGCCCGACCGTCTACCGACCCGGCATGCCTGTTGCTGGAACTGCAACCTGAACCATCCGATGGCCGATTGTCCTTTTCCACGAGGGACCTTCTGCACCCGCTGCGGTCAACAAGAGCTGTATTTTGAGGAGTGCCCTCGATGCAACTCCAGTATATTTGGTTTGCCGCCCCGAGCGAGCGATTCCTGCCAGAGACGCCATTAGCCACCGCCGAAGAGGCTTAGATAGCCAAGATGTCGGCCCGAGAGAGTTTTTTTTATTATTTTTCTTTTATTTGTTTATCGTCCGTTCTTTTTTTTTATTTTTTTTATTTAACTAATCATGTTGATACGCCATTGCGTTCTTGTCGTCGCAAAGCGACGCCTGATCTCTGCCGCCCAGGAAAGGGGGGGGGGGGAACACGACTGAGTTTCATACTTACGCCATTGCGTTTTTGTTTTTTTTGGTGTAATTGCCGTTGCCGTTGCGACATGGTATTATTAGGTTGTAAGTGAACGTGCCGCAGAGCGGAGTCATTAGAATGTATACTAATAATAAATGTTTATTTTGTTGTTGGCATTATACGGTCGATCCTTGTGTGATATAACCTAACCCTTACTTCAGGTGATGGGACTCATGGTACCGACAATCAACGATCCCTGTGGCTCCCAGTCGACGTCTGGGGGGAGGTGTTGTGACATGGGAATAATTTTCCATATCAAATGATGACTTGATTAATTTTTTTTTGTTGTTTAATTTTATTTACCGCAAAATTCTTGTGGAATTTTTCTATGAGCGAGTGACGACACTCTGAAGTACGGTACCTTGGGTTTGTGTGACGTATGTGTGTGTAGTGACTCACCACGTGAGAATTCGTTACCTCGAGCTTTTCAAATTTCCCAGAATTCGATAATTTCAATTTACTGAAATTGTTACTCGTCATATAATCAATTGGAGATTAATTAAATATTGAAATTATTAAAAATTATTTTACATTTCGATTTATTTAAAAATAAATCCAATTGTTCTTGTTGCCGTATAAATAATTATTAACCAAATGGAGGTTAATTAAAATTTAAAGTCTTAAATTATTTACGTTTTGATTTATTTAAAAATAACTCCAATTGTTATTTCGCCGAATAAATAATTATTAACCAAATCGAGGTTTATTAAAATTTAAATTCTTAAATTATTTACGTTTTGATTTCTTTAAAAATAAATTCAATTGTTATTCGCCGTATAAATAATTATTAAACAATCTGAGGTTAATGAAATATTTAAATAATTAACGAGTACTTGATTTTTAATCAATTAAAAAAAAAAAAAAAAATCGCCGTATAATTAATTTTCTGTTCTAAAATTTTTTTTTTTTTGGTTTTGCGTTACTCCGATTTCGATTAATTTTAGTATCGATTAATTGATTAGGTCACCGAAGAATAGTAATAGTATGTTATATTCTATTTTATTATACTACTATTTGCGAATTGTCGACTAATCACAGTTATTATTATTTTTTTTGTATCTTGACGAGAAGTGACTCGTCCTGATCCGGATTTGCGAAACTTATGAATTATATTGGCGATTTGAGAGAAATAAAACTGTTAATTGAATTCTCGGTTACTAACTCTGTTACTTCCTCCCTCCCTGAGCTTCCGTAAATTTAACAGTTTGCCGTTCGCCGATTTTTGAAATCTAGTGCCGAAATTTTGCATCTCTTCGGCATCGACCTGCCACCCGACGACGATCCGTAGCGACTTCGAACCTTGGAACGGTAAGTTCCTGGCGCCCAACCACCTTCGAAACCCAGGTAAGCCAATTTTGGTGGTGCTCTCCGGCCCTGTCGACGCCAGTGCCGGCGAAAAGCCCATTATACCTGATAGACTCAGGCCTTCCCTAGGGGAAAGGGAATTGTGACGTAATTTTTTTTATAGGGGTCTACGCTAAGTAAACGTCACAAAAGCGTAGTCTTATAAATTATCTTTTCTTGCCTCTACTGATAACTCAAAATTATTTTATTTGGTTCTAGCTTATAATTAATTAAATTATGATAATATAGCCAGTCCCATGGCTAAGCGGTACAACGCTTGTCATGCTTGCTTGGGACTGGTGAGGCGTGGGTTCGAGTCTCGGTGTGAGCTGAAATTTAATTTTCAGTGAACATCGGTACTCGTAACTCACGCCAGGCTGTACAGGTTTGGGTTTTCGATGGTTTCCCCAAGCCCTGTGCTACCGGTGGGGCACAGGCGAATGCGTGCAGTTTCCCCAAAGTCGGTCCATCGCCGCATTACTCTCCAGGCTGAAAAAGTATATGATACCGCCAAACTTATTCAGCCAAACTTAATGTACCGATCAGCTTGGAGTCCCCCTCCGGTCTCGGCCGGACCCCCATCGAGACAGAAGTCTGAAAAGCGGGGTTAAAAAAAAAAAAAATTATGATAATATAGTGGTGGATAAATCAGGTATTCCGGATGTGAAGTAAGGCTAGAAGTAGGGATACAGAGTAGTAGTTAATATCATGTAGTATAGTCGCGATATAGGTAAGGGGGTATCGATCCGAGGGGTGATCGCCGTCGATCCCGCGAGCATTCAGAGATTCACTTTCCGGCCTTTGCCGAGTATAGTTGGGTATGCTACAGTATACAGCGGAGAGTCGTTGGCACCTTCTCCTTTTCAGCCATCTTAAGTACAGTTTTTGTTTGTACTAAAGGCTTCGTTTGTGCTACAGCTATCATTATTGTTTCAGAATTTTATATTTAAGCTACAGCATTATATTTTTTTTTTTTGAAAAGAGTTAGTTTAGAGTCAGTTTAAGTACAAGGTTAAAGTTAAATGTAAAGCAAGTTGGCATCTCGAGCTTGTAGACGCGTCTGGAGCGGGACCTTGGAGTCACCCGGTCTCGTGGATGCTAGGAATCTAGCCCTCTGAGATTCCCGGTGAATTATAGAAGTCTTAGTGTTATGTCAACGCTCCAGTATAAGGGATTTGGTAGAGGCTCCGGAACCAGTACGTCGTTTATGGCATTTTTAATCTTTTGGTTGGCTATGACGAGGATTGAACATCCTCGCCGGGAGTCAGCACCTGGTTAGAGTACGGTACGGGTGGCAGGCCACCGAGGGCATCTGACCATGTCAGCGGTGAAAGCCAATGGTAATTTTTGAGTTTTCGTTTATGGTTCTATCTAAAGCCAATCCGAGGAGAAGTAGTCAACAAGGAATATCCTTGCTCGAAAAACGGTTTGGTAAGGGTATGTTTTAGTTTTTATGTTCATTTTATTATGGGTTAGTTTTGAGTACGTCTTAGGTACGCTTATAGTCAGTTTCGTTTGGGATACGTTCTTTTGATTAACTTTAAAGTTTAAGACTAGTTTGACATTTTTTTCAAATATTTTTGGTTTTTGAAAGGTCATGAGGGTGATTGAATTTTATTGTGGGTATCGTTGAAGATCCAGGTTATATTTTTTTGAGTTTGAGTTACGGCTATGGGATAAAACCGGAGTTACAGATTATTTTATTGATGCCTAATTAATTATGGAGCTACTTGATATCTGTTTAAAGTAATTAAGTTCTCAGCTACATTTTCTTTTGTCACCAAAATAATTAATTAGTATTTATAGTTATCATTTTGAGTTATTACGCCCCATTGAGGTTTCAGTAAATTAGTTATATTTTTCCGGTTAAGAGGACCCGGTGGTCGAGCGGCCTAAAATTTAAGATATTTTAAAAATTTTATTTCTATATGACGGTAATGACTAATGCTTTCAAATTTTTTTACAATTATTCTGTTACTTATTAACTACACAACAATGAAAATCAAAACAGAAAAAAAATTTTTTTTTAATTAGAAAAATGGTGCTGAAGTTCCCCTCTCCAAAAAAAATGAACTTGACTGGTGCGTGTCGATTGATCTCTCCCTCTGATCTGAGATAAAAAAAAATGACGGATTTTTAATAAGTATTAGTTATCGTCGGAACTAGAATGAAAAAAAAAAACAAAAATATTTGACAAAATGGCGCGTAGTTAAAAGTACGAATCGGAAACTCGTTTTCAAAAAATACTTTTAACTACGTGCCATTTTCTCAAACATTTTTGCTTTTTTTTTTAGTCTAGTTCTGACGATAACTATACTTATACTAATTAAAAATTCATCATTTTTTTTTATTTCAGATCAGAAGGAGAGATCAATTGACACGCACCAGTCAGGTCCATTTTTTTTGAAGAGGGGAACTTTAGCACCATTTTTCTAATTTAAAATAAAAAATTTTTTGTCTTAATTTTTATTTTTATGTAGTTAATAAGTAATAGAATAAGTGTAAATAAATTTTGAAGCATTAGTCATTACCTTCATAGGGAAATAAAATTTTTTAAAATAGCTTAAATTTTAGGCCGCTAGACCACCAGGTCCCCTTCAGTTTCATATTTATTTCAATGTCAAAGTATTCTATAGTCTTAGTTAATGTCATGAATTGGGCGCTATAGTTTTCTGTAGCTATGTATTGAATACTTAGTCATATGTTTAG